CATAGTGAAGAAGATGCCAGCGCTGGAGGGATCGCTATTCTCCAAGTGTCCCTCCCTAGATCACGGCCACTTCCAGCGCACCACCAGCACCTTCCTTCGTCTGACCTGCCTTGTAGTGTCCGCGGGATGGAGGCTTTCAGCAGAGGATGCTACCAGCGAGTTCCAGTGTCATTCCGATGCAATGATCCAGTGGAGGGAAGGGCTCAGCTCGTTCATGCTGCAGCTGCAGCTTTACAGGATCCCTGTCTGGTGCTGATTGCGGGGGCTGCGCTGCCTTTTTTTTTTTCTCTCCCCCACCTCCTGCTTTTTTTTTTTTTATGGCAGGAAATCTGACCTCCCTCGCTGCGTGCTGGATGGTAATAGAGGTGTACGTCTATCAGTCCGGTGCTAGAGCTCGGTGCAACTTTCCCTGTGCTGGCTCAGTGACGTCACGGTGTGCCCCCCTCCTCCCTCCAGGACGATGTGTGACCCCCCCTGCTCCTTCTCCTTCCTGGGATTCCAGCCCGCTCTTTTCTTCCACACACCGCTGCTAGACTTTTTTTTTCTTTCTTCAAGTGATGCAGGTGTTGCCCCTAGCAACCACACGCCAGGCCAATGCGGTGACGGGGAACTTGCTCGGCTTTGGTCGATACTATTATACTTCCGGTGATTATAAATCAGACCGCAGTCTTTTCTATGGAATCAATAGTTTGCAGCCATTACACATCCAGCGGGGATGCGAGGCTGTTTCCATGAATACAGCTTAATGATGCAGGCCTGAAAAATGGACAATCCGAGCATCCCTTTTGTGCGCTCAATGGGCAGCTTCACCCCTCTTCCTTTGTAATTGGGCTGTTATTCACTGTGTCTGGCTTATTAATACACATGCTCGCTGGTAGTCCTGGACACATGAAGCGAGCCAAGTCCTTTCCACCGATGGGAAGTTTCTTCAGTGACTGTGACAGTGCAGCTGCCCCTTGTCCTGACTGACAGGGGCTGTCATCTTCACAGGCAACTGAGGACAGACGGGGAGACGTGTGCCTCCTCCAATACAGGCTAATGGGGCTTCTCAAACACCAGACAAGCTTCTCCTCTAAAAGTCAACTGCCCCAGAGGTCACCGCTAAGCAAGACTACAGAAGACTTCAGCAGGGTTATATAGCTAACATACACAACTCTAGCTTTACAGGAGATAATGGGCTCAGTCCAGAAAACTCAACATGCAGGGGGATGAAAAGTGCAGTCACCACAAATCATTCCCTTACTGCTTTTGATACGCCAAAGGAAAGTATAAGTGGTTGCTAGGGGTTACACAACTTCCTTTCCCGATCAGAGGGAGCTTGTACTAAAGGAGTGAGACCCCATTCACACTGAGCTACATTTAAAAAAAAGCACTGATTTGAGCTGAGCGACATTGAGCTATAGTGCACATTTTATCGCGCTACGTGGCGCTTCTTTAGGCAGTCTGTCAAAGCCTATTAGGGCCAAATCGCACAAAATCTGCTGGAAAAATGTTCGAGCATCAAGCATGAGCTACAGGCGACATTGAGTTGTGAACAGCTCCATTGAAATGCGTTGGACGAGCTACATTGATCGATTTTTGAGCGGAAATCGCGCTACAAATCGCGCTCAGTGTGAATGGGGTCTCAAGATCGTACACTAAACTCAGGAGTTACATCTTAAAAATGGATTCAAGTACCTGAACTATTAACAAAAATTTATCTTATTTGTGTATTACTCGGCTGTAGATCCTCAAATCATCTCTGAAGTGGTGCTGATACTGTCCTTCCTTCTGGAGGGTGGCTACTTTTGTTAACCATGGTCCCTGTGTGTGTTGTAAAGTAGTCACCTCTCTAAGCTCACTCCCGTGATGGACTACAATCTCAATACAAATGAGTAAAATAACATGAGATTATAGTCCATCACGGGAGCAAGCTTGGAGCAGTGGCTACTTTACAACACACACAAGGACCATGGGGAACAAAAGTAGGCACCCTCCAGAAGGAAGGACAGTGTCAGCACCAATTCAGAGATGATTTGAGGATCTACAGCCGAGTGATACACAAATAAGATACATTTTTGTTAATAATAAAGGAACTTGAATGCATTTTAAAGGTTTAACCCTTGAGTTTAGTGTCATTTTAACTAGGGATGTCCCGATACCGGTACTAGCATCGGTATCGGGACCGATACAGGGCATTTTGACAAGTACTTGTACTTGTCAAAATGTCCCGATACATAGAGCCGAAGCTTGCACTATTTTTTTTTCCCTTACCACCAGGCTGCTGTGCGCGAGAGCAGCGGCCAGTCAGCGCTGGTCCGGGGGGAGGAGCTCCAGGTGGGGTCCTAATTTAGCTGGTCGGTGACCTCTGGGCAGTCGCCGGCCAGCTAAATTATGACCCCACCTGGAGCTCCTCCCCCCACACCAGCACTGACTCGCCGCTGCTCTTCCGCACAGCGCCGACGACGACCTCACCAGCGAGGCACATCGTGAGGCACCGTCATCGAGCAGTGAGTGAGGGCAAGGGGGGGAAGAAACTATTAATATTAGCACAGGATAATTGTACATCTATTGTCTGCAGTGTGTGCTCTACATGTACTACATATAGAGTACACACTGCAGACAATAGATGTACAATTATCCTCTGCTAATATGAATGGGTTAAATGATCCATAGTACATAATAGTACATAACATGTAGTTGTACAATGGATCATTTAACGCATTCATGTTAGCAGGGGAGAATTGTAACTCTATTACTGCAGTGTACACTATATGTAGTACATACACTGAATGGCCAGAATATTATGACCACCTGACGTTTGTAGGCAAATTAGCTATAATTAGCTATAATTTTGCGCTGAAGTTGCTAGTGGGCCAGACCATTATAAATAGGGAAGCAGGTTGTTTACTACAACAGTAGAAGTGAATGTTTTCTGAAGATATGGGTAAACAACGCGATTTAAGAGTCTTTGAACGTGGGATGATTGTTGGCGCGAGCCATGGAGCGAGAATCAGCAAAACAGCAGAACTCGTTAAATGTTCAAGAGCAGCTGTTGTTAAAGTGTTTAAAGACTGGACTGTCAGCCAGAAATCTGGGTCTGAACATGCGAATTGTGGCCATCAGCGACTAGTCAATGTTAGGGCAGAACGGAGAGTGGCAAGACTGGTACAAGACAACAGAAGGGCAACAGTGCAGTGTCAGATTCCTCGCATCACCTTTCAACATCTCGTGGAGTCACGAGGCGGCCCAACGAAGTCATCTCGTGGAGTCATCTCGTGGCCCAACGAAGTACTGATGGGGTGGTCATAATAATCTGGCCACTCAGTGTATACACGGTACATATTCCCAATATGCTGCAGTAATAGATTTACAATTATCCTCTGCTAATATTAATAGGTTAAATGATCCGTAGTACAACTACATTTTCTGTACTATGGATCATTTAACCCATTCATGTTAGTCGAGGATAATTGTAATTCTATTGCTGCAGACTGCAGTGTACGGGACGTATGTGCTGTATATGTACTATGGATCGTGATTTAACCTATTCATGTTAGCAGGGCAGAATTGTGAACGGCTCCCACAAGCTGAGCATCCGAGACGCGATACAGCGATCCAGCCCAGCGCCGACTACGAGAGACACCGCGTGAGGCGCAGCATGAGGCAACAGGGATCGGAGTGAAACTGTGAGTGAGGGAAGCTGGGACAGGGCTGGCTGTAAATCTATTGCTATAGTGTACTGGAAGTGTGTACTGTATATGTAGTACATATATACAGCACACACCTCCACTTCACTACAACAATAGAGTAACAATTTCTCCCTTGCTAACATGAATAGGTTAAATCATGATCCATAGTACATAACATGTAGTTGTACTATGGATCATTTAACCTATTCATGTTAGCAGGGGAGAATTGTAACTCTATTATTGCAGTGTACTGGAAGTGTGTACCAGGTTAAATGATCCATAGTACACACTTCCAGTACACTGCAGTAATAGAGTTACAATTCTCCCCTGCTAATTCTCCCCAAAGACAGATGCATGATCAGATTTGCAGTTTCACAACAGTTGTGTGAAAACAAATGCAAATGTTTTATTGTTCTAAAACAGTCTTAAATAATCATAAAGAAATTGGCCTAAAATCATTAATCTGTATTGTTTGTTTTTTTTTTTAAATGTCACCTGTCCCTTTAAGAAAAAATATTGGTAATTGGTATCTGCAAGTCCATGAGGGGAAGTACTTGTACTTGCACTTGGTCTTGAAAAAGTGGTATCGGGACATTCCTAATTTTAACCCTTGCAGTGGGGCTACCCCCACACTGCAAAGGTTAACTGCTCATTTTCATCTAGGTTCAAAAATAAAAAAAAAGCTATATTCTCCCAAACCGCTGAACCAGACAGTTGGCACAGCACTCCCTCCACCCTCTGTCCTCCTATGAT